GATAATCTCACAGTTTTATAGTCAACCTATGTGCTAATAAGCACTAAAGGAAGATCTCTGAACTCCAGGCCTGTATATCCAACAGCTCTTTGGTGTTTCTATTGGGATACCTAGTAGCATCTCAAATTGAACCGATCCAAAACTGAGCTCCTTATCTTTTCCAACACACACCACCTGATCTTCAAACAGTCTTCACCATCTTGGTTGATGACCACTCTACTCTTCTCGTCGCTTACGGCAGAAATGTCAGTGTCATCTTTAACTTCGTTGTCACGCATTATTTTCAGTTGGTTCAATAATGCCAGCTGATTCTACTTTCAAAATGTACCCAAGAATTTCACCATTTTTACCACCACATCTGCCTCTGTTCTGGCCCAAACTGCCATCACCTCTCATCTGGATTGTGGCAGGAGATTCCAAACTATTGTCCCTGCTCTTGCCGCAAAGCAACTGGAGTGATCCTATAAAAATGTATGTTGGATCTCATCATGCTGTTCAAAACCTTCTACTCATTTCTGAACTCATTCACAGGGAAAAGCTAAAATTCTTACTATGACCTGAGAGACGCTGCATTTTCTGGCTCCTGTTACTTCTCTTACATCTTCTACTACTCTCTTCCTATATCTACTCTATGACACTTGTGTGTGCATGTGTGCATGCTCAGTCATGTCCAATTCTTTGCAATTCTATGGACTGTAACCGGCCAGGCTCCTCTGTCCATGGGATTTCCCAGGCAAGAATACTGAGTGGGTTGCCACTTCCTTCTCCTGAGGATCTTCTCAACACAAGGATTGCAGCCTCGTCTCCTGTGTTTCCTGCATCGGCAGGTGGATCCTTTGCCAGTGAGCCACCGGGGAAGCCCACTCTACTACAGTTATGTCCTTGTTATTCCTGGAACAAGCCACATGTATTGTTTTCCCTCAAATCTTCCTGCTTCAGGATCCTCTCTCCCCAGATATCTGTGTGATTATTTCACCGTGTTTGAGACTTCACTCAAAAATCTTTCACTCCCCCCCCAATCTTTATTACTTATTAGCATTTAACACTGGACATGTACTTATTTATCTCATATATTGTCAGCTTCCCCAGCTAGAACATAATTCCCACAAGGTGTGTTTTTCTTTTCCTCTTATATTTCAAGGACTCAATAAATTTTGGACAAACAGCACTAATTTGTCCTGTTTAGAGAGAGAACACTGAACTCTCATCTTCTTCCTTCTGCATTTGCAATAATGCTATGAGAATGTACTCCTCCATAATCTGAACCTCCATGTCTCAGGCTGTTTTCTTTCTTTTCCAAGTCAGGCGGCTTGTTCCCAAACTCTGCTTTTATCATTCCACTCACCTGATTGCAAACACATTCTGGAACACCTTTGTGTAAACATTAAAGCATTCAGACAAATGTCTAATTTTCCAGTTCCTGGCAGTTGTACTATGTGAAGTATGAGATCATTCGTAAACTCACTTGATATTAATCTTTTTGGGGGAAGAACTTTAAAAACAAATTATTTTCTTGGAAGTTTTAGCCACACCAGATATTGTAGAACCAGCGTTTAATGATGGCAGATATTATTAAACAGTTAACCAAGCATGAATAAATGAATGAAATATCTATTTTTTATTGCTGCTATGTGACTGTGAGCTCCTTTAGTCCTGGACCTAAGGATTATTTAATTCATCTTTGATTCTAGCACCTAATTTATCATCTAACCCCTAAAATAAATTCAGTGTTTGATGCATGAATCATGAAGGGCTTCTGTTAGTTCATATTGCCTATTAAGCCTTGGTCCTCCTATGTCTCTGCCATTACTATTATGTCTAATCCAGGTTATGTGCCTCCTTGAGTTTGCTTGGCTAAAGTCTTCTGTTTGATGCTATGTTTACCATCCAGTAACTTGACTCCACTGTACAGCACTCTTCTAGGTTGCAAAAGGGATGTTTCAGTCTTCCTTGAAAGGAGGCGTGTTGAAATCTGTGGCTGCCTTGGTGATAGTGGCCAAGATACTCTTGATGCTCTGCTTCTCAGGTTCCTCATGTTGCTTTTGGACATAGTAACGTTTTACTTAATACCTTGAAAACCGAGGCTTTTCCCCCAGAACTTCTCTGTTGCTACAGCGGTGGTAGGCACTGCTGGAAGCTGCAGGTTGCGGGTGGACAGCTGGGGAGTGCTACTGGCTCTCATTCACTTGCCAGCTCAGCTCATGCATGGATAATGCCACTGGTCTTCAGAGTCTCACTTCCTTAGAGCTGCCTGGGGAGACCAGGGACATGATTCAGAAGAACGGGGGAGTCCACAGCTCCTGCAGTAACCTGTGCCCAAAGGGAGCTCCATTGTTCTCTCTTCCTCTGTTCCAAAACACTGTGGTCTCCCAGGTCTGCCATGGAGAAATCACATGAGACTGGGCAGCCAGAACTGTTTGTGGCCATCTCAGTTCATCACGTTGGTTATCTTTTTTTTTTTTTTTTTAACCTCCTTGCCTGCCTCATTTCCCCTTTCCCCTCACTCTTGCTTTCCTGGGGTTGCGCTCCCTAAGGAATTGTTATATAATCCTTGCCTCAGGTTCTGTTTTCTAGACAACCAGAATTCAAATATCACCATTGAACATCTCCTCAGGCACAGGCCTCGTAAAGATTTTTATGTGTTTACTTTTGTGGTATGTGCTTTCATACTCTTATGTTCTTTCTTTCCATGCTCCTCTTTTGCACAATTCAAGTGAAAACAAGCTTTTATCCTTAACACCCTTAAGGGCTTAGATCAGGGGTCCCTAACCCCAGGCTATGGACTGGTAGTGGTCCCTGGCCTGTTAGGAACCAGGCTGCACAACAGGAGGTAAGCAACAGCAAGTGAGCAAGCTTCATCTGTATTTACAGCTGCACCCCATCACTCTTATTACTGCCTGGACTCCTCCTTTTAGATCAACAGTGGCATTGGATTCTTGGAGGAGCACAATAAATGTAATGTGCTTGAGTCATCCCCAACCATCCGCGCATCCTGGTTTGAGGAAAACCTGTCTTCCTCAGAACAGGTCCCTGGTGCCAAAAAAGTTGGGGACCACTGGCCTAGATAATAACAGCTAATTATGCACCAGGCATCTTTACAATCATTTTTATCTCACAACAGCTCTGTCTAGGTACTAGCATTAAGAATGGATAATGCCACTGCTGTTCAGAATCTCACTTCCCTAGAGCTGCCTGGGGAGATCGGGCTTGATTCAGAAGTACTTGGTCAAAGCTGCACAGTTAGTAAATATGTGAACTCCAGAATTCATATTCTTAAAGACATCATAGCTCAAATAAGCCTCCAGCGAGGACCTGGCTTTCCTGGAACCAAGATACAGGAGCTTCTCTCTTTACAAAGAGTTTAGATTCCAAATGGCTATACTTACAGCCATGGCTTTAATTCATTCAAACTTAACACGAAGGGGTTTACATTTCCAGTCTCCAGATGAGTTTTCCACAAAAGGAAAGGGAGATGCGCAACCCTTTAAAACTTTAAAATATGTCTACTTTTCTCGTCTTTGCTCATGTATGTCCCATGGCATCTCTTTCTTTTTTCTGGCCACTCCATGTGGCAAGTGGGATCGTAGTTCCCCAACCAGGGATTGAACCCATGCCCCCTGCAGCAAGAGCAAGGAGTTAACCCCTGGACCACCAGGGAAGTACTATAGTGTCTCTTTCTAAAGGAGACTTGTTTTGCATACTTTGAAATTGAGGGTAGGTAATTCCCTCCTAGATGATCTCTTCAAGTGTGAAGAGGAACTGTTTAGCAGCTTTGTGCCCACAGATATTTTGAACATTTGATTAGTGCTTTGAGCCTATGGAACCACATTTTGCCCCCAAACACAAATTTTACCATCTGAAACTTTAGTTCTAGAGCCAATACTTGGTCTTAACTAACTTCAGATTAGGTTAGTAAGCATCTGACTTAAAAGCTTATCTCTTGGATTATACTACAAGGTTTTTCCATTTCATCAATCACTTTCCCAGTTCTCTGCTGTCAAGAGCATAGGCATATCATGTTTTACCTGTTGCATGATTTGCTTTTCACTTTCAGAATTGTCAGTACTATCCAAGGAGTCATCTGTGTGCAAATGAAGCAATTCTCATTCTCATCAGTTTCAATTGTGAAATCTCTTTCTCTTTTATCTCCATCACAATTTTATTCCTCTTTTTTACAGGACCTATCAGCACTCCTACTGCTTTTGTACCTATCAGATACTACGTGATCATTATTATTCATGTAGCACCTCAAATTAAGCAGCAACAGAGCAAACATCTTTAATAAAAAATGACTCCAGAGCCCGCTGACTCCCGTGGCTTTGGTGGGGAAAGCTGACTTGCTTTTGCTCTGATTCAGTTCAGTTCAGTCTCTCAGTCGTGTCCGACTCTGCGACCCCATGGACTGCAGCACGCCAGCCCTCCCTGTCCATCACCAACTCCCGGAGTTTACTCAAACTCATGTCAGTGATGCCATCCAACCATCTCATTCTCTGTTGTCCGTTTGCTCTGATGGGTCGCTTTAAAAAATATGTTAATAAATTAACAGTTCTTAGTTTTTGATTTTCTACTCTGGATGCTTGACACCTTTTAGGAGGCTTCCTTCCTCCACTCAAGGAGAAAGATATAATAAGGTTTACCACTTTCATTGAACTAGTTGACTAATACTCCATGCCTTATTGGACTTATCGCCTTTAGAAAGAAAGGATCTTGCTAACGAGTTACCTCCCATTTTTATAGTGCTTTAATTTATTGATCAATTTGAAGCCCATGTTCATATGCAGAGGCTTCACTGATCAGATCCCGGGCCATCACATAAGCAGTATTACTTTGGACATGTTTCCAAAGTTCTCAGGACATCGATACCCTTGCAAGCTAGTGTGGGGAGTCAGCGGGAAAACATCTCATCTAGAGTTGTTATGCAAAAGGGCTTCCACCAACGGAAACTCTTTGAATTTCTCTGAGGGGCTTAACCAGGATGAGCAAATGAAGCGAGCTGTCGGATGATGTTCAGTCAGTCCCCGATATTCCAGGGACAGGGAATGGAAGCTGAGAAATCCAAATCACAGGCGGACGGGAGAAATTCCGTGCGTGGAATGAGTCGCAAGACTAAGCCCCGCTGGGTGAACCACAGGCTGGAGCGCCACACTTCTTCACCTCCATCCCTGTTCTCGCTCCACGCCCACCCACAGCCCGCCAGCATCGGAACGTCATCGCCGGGTAGCCGGGTCGCGCGGCCCACGGAGTGGGAGCCGGAAGCCGAGCGATCAGGCGCGCGGCGTCCCGGAACCGCGGGAGCCTGAGAGCTCGAGCACCTGGGGAAAACCGGCAGGAGACAGCGGGCATGCGCGAGGCTGCCGGCCGGCGCAGGCGCTCTGGTGGCCTCGCGCGAGGGACTAGATCTGGTTCTCCGGGTTGGAGCTCTTGGGGCGTCGGGGGTTGTGCTGGCTGCGGGGGCAAAAGGGGGAGGGAAAGGAGATGCGATTGGAGCCGGACTCTTGAGAAGGGCGGATTTGCTTCTTTGATGGGGAAGGGCCGAGTGGATGGATCCTAGTGTGCGTCTGTGCTGGACGTGCACTGCAGAGTCAGGAATTTGTCGGAAGATGAAATGAAACTATTCTGCAAAGGCGCGATGCGATTTTCCTAAGTCAGGAACACGCTCAGATTCACGCCCAGATCCTGGGGATAGTGCTCCTTCGGGATGACTCTGTACCTGTGTGCCGGTACCGCGCGAAAGCTGACCTGTTATTTCAGTCTTTTGTCAGCAACGACTGCGGGGCGGGCTTTATCACATTACTCCCCAGTTTCCCTTCCGGAAACCTAGGCCACATAAAGTTGTCTATAGGTGGCACAGCTGAAAAGTCATGGAGTTGCTCTTTCCACAAGGTTTGTTTCCAAAGCTCACCTGCTGCCTATTAGACGGTTGGAAGTCATGAATGGGTGATAATTAGACAAGAAAGACTTTCTGTAAATAAGTGGTAAATCGTGAGGTTTGGACGTTAAAAGCTATAAATCAGGCTGTAGGAATAGGTATGTGTCAGGGTAAAGGGGTCACAGTGGATTTTGAATAGAATTTGGCTGGAAGTAAGGAAAGGGAAAGCATAAACTTGGAGGTGGAACCGGAAACCTGAGAAGAAAAGGAAACAATTGCCTCAACTGAAACCTTGTGTTTACATTTGGCTTGCAAATGATAGCGTCTGTAATTTTAGAGATTCTTCCAAAGCAGTGGACTCTCTTTTCTGTACCTAGATTTATGCTAGATACATAATGATAACTTTTCCTCTGTTCAGCCAGAAGATGCATTCCGGCCACCCATTTAACAGTCGGAAACTTTGGTACCCAACACAAAAATAATAGGAGATGGAGGGTTTCTTGCTGAACTCTGACCTGCCTCAGAGAGGTCTCTTTAACACTTGCAGGTTTTCCAGCTCCATAACTCCTTTTTGGCTCCAGTAAGAGGAATAAACAATCATAACTCCCAATCTAGTACCACCTCAGTGCCAACATCTATTTTTAAAAACAGGAAAAAGCCCATATCATCTTTGTTTAAAGAAGCTTGGACTCAGTGATTTGTTAATTTGTTCGTCGTTTCATACTGCTGTTATTGCTGTAACAGCTTGCTCTGCCCAATTTAACGACTGATTACTACCTTGTCTTAAGCTCTCATTGTTTAATGGGTATACATTTTATCTCCTAAGCAAGACTGTAAGATTCCCCAGGCAGGAACGGTGTTTTCTATCTTCTATCTGAATACTGACTTTGACTTTTTCCGCCTTGCATTCCCACTACTGAGCACACGCTAGGCACTCAGTTAATAATGAATGAAACGTTGCCTTCTGGAGAGCAGGAAACAAGCCTGTTATGTCTTTATATTTTGCTGGCCCTCTAGCAGAATCTCCTTTTGGAGGACATTCAGCAAGTATGTGACTTGACTGCTGTGCCTTTCAGCAGGGGAAATATAATCTCCCTGTTGCCCTATAAAGAATTGGCACCTAAACACCATGTTCCCAAGAAGTCTGTCAAGAAATCATTGTTGATAAATTGATTAGACTCAAAGAAATTCTTAATTCCTTTCTGAAGTGTGCATCTGTCCTTTCACAGTGAAATTCATGGTCTGGCTGCCCAAGAAATTCTTTGGGAAACTGTAATTTGAGTATCTTCTTGATTGAGAAAATAAATAAACCAATAAAAACCCCAACCCAACAACGGAAACCCAATACCAAACCAGACCTTTGTGCTTAAGAACCTCATCTGCCAATCAACTTCGTGCCGCTGGGGTAGGGGGAGAGAGTGGGGCGGGGAGCGGTGGGGGGGGGGGGGAGAGTTGGGGGAGCTGGGAGGGAGAGAGTGGGGGGGTCGGCGGGGGGAGAGAGAGAATGCTTGTGTGTGTATGTCTCGTGCTCCATTTGAGGTAGGAGAAGCCAAGAAAAATCTGATACACCGTTTTTCTGTTAGCCTATTCAACTGACAGCAAAGACTCCATAGAGTGGGGTGCGGTTAGGGAGGCGATGAGTTCAGGTAATGTTTGAGCACAGGAGTCAGAGGCTAGACCAAATCCTTTTCAATATTTACATTCATTGGAGCTAAATCTGGCCCCTTCTCCTTTATTATCTGTGGGAACATTTCTGAGCCTTAGTTTCCTCTTTTGTAAAATGGGCATGAAAACGATACCACCATTTAAATTTTGTACTCACAATGTGTAAATTTGTAAAGCGCTCAGGATATTCCCTGGCACACTAGTACTTAGCAAGAGCTTTAAGTAAGTAAAAGGCGATGACCTCGACTTCCACACTGCTAGCCTCCTGTAAGCCCCACCTGTACCAAAATACTGGAGACGCCGCAGTTTCGGGTTACAAGGTTTTCTGACCCATGCAATTATTTGTCTGCCGTCTGCTCGGCTAAAACTCGCTCAAACGATTTGGGATGTTGGCACTCTCTTCCTCGCCTCCTTGGTTCCCGATCCCAGTCCCCTGCCTTCTCAATCGCGGTGGGGGCGTGAATGGGGGAGGAGGACAAGCTGGTCTTCCTCCCCACCCCCAATCTTCGCGGCTCTGCGAAAGCCTTGGAAACCACTCCGCGGCCCTGTTCCTCCCTGGAACGCCCCCGGGGCGGGGCTCGGGGGCCGCGCAGGCCCAGTGCAGCCGCTTCGCGCCTGCGCAGAGGAGCAGCTGAAGGAGGCGGGGGATTGGTATCCGAGCGAATGTGTGAGGGGAGGAGGCGTCCGGGCCGAGCGTGGTACTACGACGGGCGCGGGCCGGAGGGGGCGGGGGGATGCGCCGCGGCGGCGGCGGCGGCGGCGCGGGCGCTGGGACTGGTGTTGAGGCGCCAGAGCAACGGATCCCGGTCTCGCTGCCGCAGCAGCGCGGGTGTCGCGCGCGGCCTGAAGACGCCGTACCTTTTTGCTCCTCACCTTTTTTTTTTTTTTTTTTTAAATAACCGGAACCAATGAACGCAGCCGGGACCCAAGCTCCAGAGGCCGCCGGTGCCGACGGGACCAGACTGGCGCCGGGCAGGAGCTCGCGTCTGGGGTGGCGGGGGCGGCCCGAGGAGTCACAGGCGGCGGCGGCGCCTCTCGAAGCGGGCGAGTGGCCGGCGGCCCGGGCGCTGCCGCGCTTTCCCCCCGCTCCTCCTCCTCGTCCTCATCCCGCCACGACGTCCGGCCCGGCCTCGGGCCGGCTGCGGCGGCGTCTCTGGGCTCCGCTGCTGGTGCTCGGGCTGCTGGTGGCCGGCGCGGCGGACGGATGCGAGCTGGTGCCCAGAGACCTCCGCGGACGGCGGGCGGCGGGCTCTGCTGCGGCGGCCGCCTCCCCTGCCCCTGCCGCGGCGGCGGCGGCGGCGGGCGGCAGCTCGGTGCTCATGACAGGTGAGGGCCTGGAGGGCGGCGGGCGGGGCTCTGCCGGGTGCTGCGGGACCCCCATCTTCGGGAGGGGCCCGCGCCGCTCCCCGACGCCTGCAGTTCGACGGCCCGGGTCAGTGCGTGATGCCCGGACGCCAGCGCCCTGGTCGCTGTTTGGTCGCGGACTCCTGCACTCCGGATGCCTTCCCTCTCCCCCCTGACACCCCGCCCTCGCCAGAGCCTCTCGACGGCATTCGCTTCCCCGCCCTTAAGTCTGCTCCCCGGTGTTCCACGCTGAGCAATGCAGTGGTTTCTCTTCCGCGCTGCAGAAAGAGCCAGCAGGGTCTGCAGGGTACTGGGCTGATTTTTTTTTTTTTTTTTTGAAGCTGCCAGAAGTAGTCAGCAGCAGCAATGCGGTATGGAGTCCGCCTCTGGTGCTGCTTTTGCAAAGGCAGCTGTCAGCGAGTCTCACCGGTTCAAAGCCCGGCTGAGCAAAATGTCCCAGGGGAGACTGCTAGAGCGGCTTCTTTGAGAGCCATAATACCTAGTAGTATTAGTGGTTCCTTGTTAGTATGGCAAATCTCTAGTCTAATATGTTTTCTTTTTTTTTTTTTTTCCTTTTGAGGAGTGGGAGGAAGACCCTTTTAAAGGATGGATAGATAGTATTTGCTGGTGGGATTGTCACGGTTCACAGGATGCAGAAAGCTCAGCAGCTAACCAGCAAGATACCGAAAATTTACCAGTGCAGGATATTCGGTGCTTGTATTTGAGCAGCACATTTTTTTTTTTTTTTTTTGAGTAGCATAGTTCTTACAGACTGCAATAGCACCTTTTAAAAATATGGAACGTTCTTGAAATTTGCGAACATGTATGGTAAGGTGAGGTAGAAAATTAAAGCTTTCTGTTGTCATGTGCTACTGATAGGTTGTGGTTTAAGTAATGATGTCAAGGATCTTGAAATGATTTCTTTTGGAAAAGTAGTGGAGTTAAAATCAGCTTTTTTGGGGTGAACTTTATTTGTAAGTAATTTGGAAGTAATTTGTAGGTTTTCTATATAATTGCAGGACTAAAAAGGAAACAGTCAAGTGTAACAGTATGACCCATCATTAATTTAACCAAAGAGCTAGTCGAACAGGCGTTTGAAAGTTACTAACAGCTGCTGTGAGTGTTGCTCAGGAGGTAGAGTTCAGAGCAAAGCAGCTATTCTCTGGATTCTATGACAGGATGTTTACTATTCTAGAGAGGAGGGTGTTGGTAAATTTTCCAAGCTCTTTGGAAGTTTTATGAAACATAATGATTGGAATATTTAACTTGCTTTACCCTAAAACTTATCAGGCCCTTTAAATGGAACTTGAAACATCAGATCTCCATGATTTTGATAAAAAGATTACAGAATGGTCAGTATTAGAAGTGTAATAGAGTTTGAGTGAGAGAATAGATTGGATATTTTATGCTTGAATAGTCTTATAGTAATCATTAAGAAGGTAGCAAGATAAAACTAGAATGTGGAGTTTTAATGCCTCATGCAGGAAGGAAGGGGGTGAAACTCCTTGGGTTTCTAGAGGCTATAGGAGTGTGACTCTTGGTTTCTTGAGTAGAAAAGTTTGGTTGAAAAATAATTGACTACTGTTTTATCAATATGTAGTTGGTAGAAGGGCACATGATTCAGAAAATTTAGAATTAACTGCTAATGTGTGTCATGTAGATTACATCAGGAAAATTACTTAAGATGGAATTTTATTTTAATAAGTAGTTAATAATCCTTCCTTTTGAAGACTTAAGTTTCTCTGAGTTATTTATGGCATTGTGAAAAAGGCAAGGTGATTTGTATTGGATGAAAAGTATGATATATCACACAAAATGAGTTTGAGTGGTAGTGCTTTAAAGTAAGTTTACTAAAATAATACTAACCCTAGAATTTGTTTTTAATATTCTTTCCCTTTGTTAGAATATTGATTTTGAAAAGTTGGACATTTCTGTTTAAACTTTAAGATTATCAAACTACACAATGCACAAGTTAAATTGTCATTTAATAAGTATGTAAATACAGTGAACGGAACTGGTAGCTGGGAAAAGGTAAATTGAAAGTCCACAAGAAGGTTAGAGAATATTGAAAATTTTATTGATTTATATGGTCTGTATGGGGCTCCTTCCTATTCTTCTGTTTGTATGAATAGTGCTGTCTTTTATGGTTTCCGTTTGTAAATGTTGTGCTAAACTCAGAACATAATTATTGCTATTGTACACTTCAGGAAGTAGAACCATAGACTGAACCAAAAAAATACTGTATTATCATAATCTAGTCAGTGTTAATGGATAGAAATGGAGTAGAGAGTTTCAGTAAGAAAACTAAGTTTTATGTGACTTTTGAAAGTGGAAAATTCTTGTAAGAATTTGGAGACAGTTGTTCTCTCTGACTCTATTAATGATGTCATTTAACCATGAATTCTTAGTGGATCTGAAAATGACAGAGTCACTCTCTTCTTTTCAGATTAGTATTTTAAATACTTAGCTTTAGCAACACCATGAGTTTTTCTATTACTAATAAAATCTAGAGAGCATTCTCTTCCATTGAAGTTTTCCTCTCAAGAGTTTTACTTCAGAGGTTTAGTGAATTTTCAGAACAAATTGCCTCTCGGTCATCTAGTGCATGCTCAGTTTTGAGCAGGCAGGTAGGTGTTCTTTTAAAGAGAGTGTGTGTGCGTGTGTGCTCAGTTGCTTCAGTAGTGTCTGACTCTTTGCAGCCCCGTACACTGTTGCCCACCAGGCTCTGCTCTCCGTGGCATTTTCCCAGCAGAAGTACTGGAATGGGTTGCCATTTCCTCCTCCAGAGGATCTTCCCGGACCCAGGGATCGAACCCCCCATCTCCTGCTTTTGCAGGCGGATTCTTTACTGCTGAGCCACTGGGGAAGCCCTTGAAAGGGAGAGACTATGTCAAGTCATCAGGATAAACAGACCCATTGTCATAAGAATATTGATTTATATTTTCCTTCCTTTTTTTTATATTACCTTTTTAGGATTTAGGGTGTGCAAATTTTGATAAGATGAAACCATTAAATGTTTAGAATGCTTTGTAGTAAGGGTTTAAGTTAATGTGTATATGTATATAAGACATTAATAATCATTTTAACTTAATAACTGGATATATACTTAGGGTTCTTTGAAAGCGATTTTGAAATTTAAAGCAATTTAGGGATGCGCTTGTTGATTATAATCTAAAGCAGTGCTTGAATAATTTAAAACATCATGTTTTTTCTCTTTTGCCTAAAAGATTCACAGTCAATGACTTGATCCCAATCAAGTCTGAGTGATTGATCTCATCCAGATATGGTCCCTGAAAAACAGTTTATGAAAGGACATTGACAGAGGGCATATACATATATACACACACATATATGTATGTTTGTGTGTGCATAATGTACATACGTAAACATATTGCATGTATATAGAACACAGTTATTCTGGCAAAACATGCAGAACAATTGAAATATTAGAACATTTTCAGAGTCTTTTAAAACAAATTTTATCTTTAAAAATATATGCTTCTGTCATTCTTTTATGAATTAATGTAACCCTTTTTAGTGTTTATATAAAGGTTTTAACTGTAATACTTTTCACTAGTTTGGCATACTACTAAAAATATAAAATTCATATTTTTAAACATGTCTTTTGGAAGTATTAACATTTCATTGAAAAAGTATTCTTTTTTGAAAGTATAATACCACTTAGAAGAGCCATGGCTACTTTCTAGTGTTAAACATATCTGTGTTGTAGGGCTTTCACTTAGATGAAAATATCTCACATGAGCATGATTGTCTTTGGGAAAATGTTAAACTTTGCTTTTTTCACCTTGCCTCCCTAACATTTACCCAGCAAATGCTGACACTTTTTTGAAAATTAGCAGTTAGCTTGAGTGTAGTGTGTGTGTGTGTGTGTGTGTGTATGTTACTCTGAGTAATATTTTGTGAATTTACACGTGTCAGTGGTTTCATTGTGACAGTAGTTAAATTCATAGTGTAGCTCACATAGTAATAGAAAATGTTTTTTTTCCTTTCGTGAAGTTACTCTTTTTGGATTTAGCTTAGGATTTCATGAAACCATCTTTTGATGGCTAGCTCTTCTGCTGTATCCTTTTTTTCCTTTCCCATAGTTAACTTTTACCCATCCCATTCTTTGCTAGTCTTTGGCCATAGCTCTAGGTTGTTTTTTTCCTGATTGCAGAATTAAAGAATATACTCATCCCTTTGATCGAGTGTATTCTGACCATTTAAGAATTGGTAGTAATCTCATTGGTCTGGAAACACTGCATTCCTTGGTGCTCTTTGAGAATACTGTGGCAGAACTGATTGGTCTCTGTTGGGAATCCCCTGGCACAGGAAAAACTCAGAGGGCCAGCTGGAAAAGTTAGTTCAGGATTTAGCTTAATTTTAACAATAGGAGGATCCACATAGAAATTGTTTAATTTGCTAAAGGCTTGCTTTGTGTCTGGATACATGCTAATATTTTAAGATTAATTAAGACTTTTGAGTAACTATATCAAGCATTTTAGATATTGCCCTGCTCATTGATAATAATGCAGCATGGAACACTTTATTTGTGTATATGGTAGCTAAAGTATAAACTCATTAAGCTAATGTTAAAATTAACAACTAATAATATGATTAGTTGATTAGCAAGCCAATTTTGATTTTTGCCAGAATTTGGACCTTACCTGATTAAGACGTACCTAGGAGATTACTTCTGAATTGATCACATTTCATCAACCAAGCAATTACTAAGTGTACGCAAAATACCACGTAGTCGCTAAGTCGTGTCCAGCTCTTTTGCAGCTCCATGGACTGTAGCCCTCCAGGCTCCTCTATTAATGGCATTTCTCAGGCAAGAATACTGGAGTGGATTGCCATTTCCTTCTCCAGGGGATCTTCCTGACCCAGGAATTGAACCTGCGTCTCCTGCATTGGCAGGTGGATTCTTTACCACTGAGCCACCAGCAAGGCCCACCACTTACAGGAATGGCAAAAAACAG